CTCAGTACACAGTTATTAACCTGCTGATATCATTTTTCTCTACAGGTTGTTGAAAAGTGCTGATGCAGAGGAAGCCTACAAGTGTCTTACTGACATTTTCAGAAGAAACCCCTTACTGCAAACGGAGCTGGATCTGAGCAACAAGACACCTGAAGACATCAAAGTGAAGAATCTCTCGGCTCTGCTGCAGGATCCACATTACAGACTGCAGAAACTTACGTAAGGAACAACTATAAACATATATTCAATTGAATTTTCAGTTCAATTTTATTTGTATAGCGCTTTTCACAATAGACATTGTCTCAAAGCAGCTTTACAGAAATATCAACACGGTATACAGATACTGAAGGTGTGAATTTATCCCAACTGAGCAAGCCACTGAGTGGCGACGATGGCAAGGAAAAACTCCCTAAGATGTTTTAAGATGAAGAAACCTTGAGAGGAACCCGACTCAGAAGGGAACCCGTCCTCATCTGGGTAACAACAGATAATGTGAAAAAGTTGATAATGGATTGATAATGAATACGAAGTCTGTAAGGTCTTAGGTGCAGCCGTAGTCCCAGTAGTCCGGAATTAGAGAAGATTTGAGCTCCATCCAGAGCCAGAAAGGATCTGGATCTCCAATATCTCCATAAATTCGTGTGGGGCTCTGCAAAAGGAGAGAGGGAGAAAAAAGATTATCAGGACTGCGAAGTAGTAAAACAGAATCTAGTCAGGGTAGGCTTGAGTAAACAAATAGGTTTTAAGCCTAGACTTAAACACTGAGACTGTGTCTGAGTCCCGAACACTAATTGGAAGATTGTTCCATAACTGTGGGGCTCTATAAGAGAAAGCTCTTCCCCCTGCTGTAGCCTTCACTATTCGAGGTACCGTCAAATAGCCTACATATTTTGATCTAAGTAGGCATGGAGGATCATATAAAACCAAAAGGTCGCTTAGATATTGTGGTGCGAGACAGTTTAGTGCTTTATAGGTTAATCAAAGTATTTTAAAGTTAATGCGAGATTTTACTGGGAGCCAATGCAGTGTGGATAATATTGGTGTGATATGGTCATATCTTCTGGTTCTAGTTAGGACTCTAGCAGCTGCATTCTGGACTAACTGGAGTTTATTTATATTCCTACTGGAACATCCAGACAGTAAGGCATTGCAGTAATCTAATGTAGAGGTGACGAATGCATGAACCAGTATTTCCACATCATGTAGTGACAATATGTTTCTTATCTTAGAAATATTTCTGAGATGAAGGAAAGCTATCCTAGTAATATCTACATGAGCATCAAATGATAGGCTGGAGTCAATAATCACTCCAAGGTCTTTGACTGCTGTACATGATGAAATAGTAAGACCATCCAGAGTTACTTTGTAATCAGAATGATTACTTCTAGCTACACCTGGGCCTAATAAAAGTATTTCTGTTTTATCAGAATTAAGTAAAAGGAAGTTAGTTAAGATCCAACATCGAATGTCCTTTACACAATCCTCAACTTTACTAAGCTTCTGTCTGTCCTCTGGCTTCGCTGAAACATACAGCTGTGTATCATCAGCATAACAGTGGAAGCTAATTCCATGTTTACGAATAATTTGTCCTAGGGGTAACATATATAAAGTGAAAAGCAGTGGGCCTAATACAGAACCCTGTGGAACTCCAAAAGTAACCTCAGTACGCATGGAGAAATCACCATTTACATCTACAAACTGATAACGATCGGTCAGATAAGACCTGAGCCAGGAGAGGACTGTTCCCTTAATACCAACAACATTTTCTAATCTATCAAGGAGAATAGTGTGATCTATAGTATCAAAAGCTGTACTAAGGTCGAGTAACACAAGCAGCGAGACACGGCCCTAATCAGAGTTCAGTAGAAGGTCATTTACTACTTTAACTAATGCTCTCTGTGCTACGATGAGGTCTAAATCCTGACTGATACATTTCATGAATGTTGTTCCTATCTAAGTACGAGCATAACTGCTTTGCTACAACCTTTTCTAAAATCACAGAGATGAAGGGGAGATTTGATATTGACCTATAGCTGGACAATTGATATGGGTCAAGGTGAGGTTTTTAATCAAGGGTTTAATAACTGCTCTATTTCCATGCATTATTGTAATTAGCTGGTGTGTGGAGTGTGTCATTAACAGAGAGCACAATGGCCAACCTCAGTGTGTGGAACATTATTAGCAATATGATTATTAAGAGAGTGTGAGCTGCTGTGAATTGAAGCTTCCATGTGCGAGTGTCCTTCTGTCTGTGCACTCTCAGCAGGATCACATGATCACACTTCACTTTCACTCGCTCCATAAACTACTCACTGAAGATGAGAGTTAACATAGTTTCTTTTTCTCCATTTTCAAAACATCTATATACTGTATGTGTGGGCGGGGCCTTGGAGTATGACAGGATGTAACTATAGAACTATTTGGATGGGATTAGATGTACATGAGGTCCTGGGGTAATTTCCTCTTTTAAAGGAGCTCCTCTGTGACTTTATTTCCATCCGGATCGGCCATGTCAGTGTTGTTCTCTGTCGTCCTCTGCGAAAACTCCAGACTGAATTAGCTGCTATACTGTTTCTCACCAAACTCAGTGCTCATCTGATCATTTTAGTACAGATACACGTCTGGGATTTTCTATGCAGATGTCACCTCGTGTTGGAAATAAAAGCTGTTGGACTGCTGCTACTTGCTGTATTTAGTGTATCAGGGCCCCTCCCTGAGATATTAAACACAGCCCGAGTCACTGAATGGAAAATGCTTCTCATATACTTTGTGATTATTGTTTGATTGTATTTTCAAACTGCTGCTGAACTTTGGTTCATCCCAAACTGAAATAAGAGCCAGCATGTCTTCTCCACTTCAGCACCTCTCTGACTGCTTGGACACCATGTTGGGAACGGAGAGTGATCTTATGACCATGTCTGGGTCTGTAGAAAATAAAACCTGCTAGAATCTCACTCTTCCTGTAGTCAGTGTAAAACTGTATTACAGGTGTTCCCTGATAAACTAATCCAATCTGAATAGGGCTTATTTGCTGCTGTTATTGTCTTCTTCTCAATAGTACACAAGTGTTATGAGACTGTTAGTTCTGCTAAAATATCAGTATGAAATGTAATATTTTATTATGCAGATGTGACTGCACTGCAGATCTGATTGTATAACCCAGCTGCAAATGTTGTGGATAAAATCACCCTTTCTAGCCTAAGTCAAAAACTTCTAAGACAGAGAGTTTAGTAGATGTCAAAAGTAATAAACTTTATTGAAAACCAACAAAGGGTGACAGTCTGCAGAGAGTCCAACTTGTAAATACACAAACATGTCTTTATATACCTGCCAAAACAGTGAAAATAATTCCTAGGTGTGGAATTCAACTTTTCTTTTTAGAACTGACCAATCTCTATGACCTTAATTAATTATTCATGTCTATACAAATTTGTGGAGCATGCGCAGTGAGTTGATTTTCCTGAAAAGGTTTTACAAGGACAAGTTTTCTTCTTTTTTTTTTTCCTTGAACCACACTCCCTCCCTGAAGCCCTCTTCATACTTTGATAGGCCCCTGGCTTCAAAGTTTTCTCCCACAAAAGTGAACGCATAATGCCCAATTATTGCTGTGTAGAAAGATGCCAGCTAGTACAGAAGAATTTCTTTGGTGTACAGTAAGACATGGCATTCATCCAACACAAATCCACTCAGAATTTATCTTGACCAACCGTTGTTCAATGGGTTTACATTATGTTTCCAACTATTGATTATACATATAGATTATGCTTTAAGTAATACTTCTAAATGCAGGTTACATATTGACTACACTTCATTAACATATCCAGAAGTGAGTTATACATATTGGTAAATTAATTATTGTCCTTTTATAATCTCAATTATTTTCATCAATTAAAAATGGAAGCCTAAGGCACATATTCAGGCAGTGCTTTTTTCTGTATTGAAATCGTATCGTATTTAAATGTTGTATATTGTTAAACACCTAATGGTTATAATTATTATTTTAGTTATCACCCAGCCATATGAGTCTGGTAAAAACCAGAAGAAAGAATATAAGATAGAAGAACAGAAACCAGAGATTTAGAAATTGTTACGGAACATAGTGGAGTTGGATGCAGATGCAGACCAGAACTCTTTATTCAAAGCAAAACACAAACAGCAAACGGAGCATGGAGCATATCCTTCTTGGCATAAACAATAGCGCTACAAACACAAACGGATTTCCCTCCTACTACCAAACCATAAACACGTAAATGATAACGAGCGCTGTGCTCTGAAAATCCGGCGTTCAAATAGCCAACATCATTAGACCTAACACACCAAACACCTGTGCTAGATTTCGGTGGTTATGGTCTTAACCCGGAAGTGCGCGCCCAACACAAAGTCCTTTCAAATGAAGCGCCACAGCGGCCTCTGGCGGCCGTGGCGTGACAGAAATGTGTTAGTGTTCTTACTTCAGTCATTTCTATATACTTTCTTTCTCTAATGTTGGAATAAACACTGTTTCCTTTTCTGCAGATTACGGGACAGTGTAAAAGAGAAATCCTGCACTGATTTGGTTCCAGCTCTCTGTACAAATCCATCACACATCAGAGAGCTGGATCTGAGTGAGTGTAAACTAGGAGACTCAGGAGTGAAGAAGCTCTGTAATCTACTGAAGAAACACGAGTGTAAACTGGAGACACTGCGGTGAGTAACTCAGTGATGTGATGAAACAGCTTTATAATAAAAAGCACTAACCAGAACAAAGCTCTTACCAGTCCTAGCTAGTAACGTCTAACTAACATGTCTAACTTGCTCTCTAGATTAGATTTATTATCAGTAATAAAGATTAAATAAAGATGTATGTGAACTCTGGTGATGAGGAGGATGTGGGATTAGGAACAAGTAGTGAGAGGTATACAGTAGTTATAGCATTGAGGTGCTTTGCACTACTGGGAAGTGTATTTCATTTAAACATAGACACCGAATTAAAAGCTTTACAAACTCTAACATGAAGTAGTGCAGTGGAAGCTCAGTGGTTAAAGCATTGGGTTATTGATTGGAAGGTTGTGAGTTCAAATCTCAGCACCAACAAGCTGCTATTATTAGGTCCTTGAGGAACCCCTCAGCTGTATCCTGTCTCAGTTGTACGTCCCTTTGGATAAAAGCATCAGTTAAATGTAAAAGTGAGGCTTTATCTTTCTCTGGTTGTTAAACCTACTTTTCTGCCAGGTGACTACCAATATAAACTAACGGCCCAGACACTACATGTGCTTTTCCCGACTCCTGATCTCAGATTCTTTTCATTCTCAGTGCTTTATATCGGAGTTTAAACCAGAAAACAAACCACAAGACAACAAATCTTCTATCAGTGACATACATTGACTCTGCACTAGTGTTCATATTGACATATCAATTCTGAATATTTGAAACACTTTCAATTCTCATGTTCTGCAGTATCGAAACACCGATACCTGCTGCGCTTTCACACGCTCTCTTCTCTCTGACAGCGAGTTAACACACCACAGTGCCCACATACTGTAGCCCCACCCCCTGTCACTGACTCACTCAGGTGTGTGGTCTGATTTCTGCACCTAATCTTCTTCTCTTTGGCATTAGTGGTGTAGTGTTGAAGCCTTGCAGCTCCAGGGTTCCTGGTTTGATCCTGAACTCAGGGGACTGTCTATGTGGGGCTTCACATGCTCTCCCTGTGGGTTCCTTGAGGTTCTCCAGTTTCCTCCCACCTCCCTGTGCTAAATTCTCCCTTGGTGTGAATAAGTGTGTGAATGTTTGTGATGGACTGGAGTACAGGGTTTATTCCCACCTCATGCCCAGTGTTCGTGGGATAGACTCTGCATCCACCACCACCCTGACCAGCATAAACCTCATACATTAAATCTATAAAGTTATATTACTATGGTGTATAAACTCCTGATGGAATCAGTTCTGCTGCACTGAAGGTTCTGGATTTGATGTGATTTGCTGAGGTTCTGATGGAAGTTTAACGCACATTAACACAGTGATGATAAACAGTCCACTGCACTCTGTGTACAATCCTGGACATAGCAGTGTTTTCCATTTTCCATGTGCATGATGGTGGGTTATCTGTACTTTATTTGAAGACGTTTATCTCAGCTGTGTTCTCTGTGTGCAGACTGAGTAAGAGCGGTGTTACAGAGAGAGGCTGTACTGATCTGAAATCAGCTCTTACTGCAAACCCTTCACACCTGACAGAGCTGGACCTGAGTGAGAATAGACTGGAAAATAAAGGAGTAAAGATCATCTCTACTCTACTAAAGAGTTCATCCTGCAAACTCCAGAAGCTTGTGTAAGTTATTTAATAGTATACATTACTAGATCACTGACATTTTTACTTCACTATAAGTATATTTGTAGCATGTAGGAATAGATTAGTCAGTAACTCATTCAGGGGAGTGTTTCCCAATAACAGTAAATCGTATTCAGTAATGAACAGATTAACAAAGGACAATACATGTGAGCCTGATTGTCGAATGTTTCTTAAAAGCCTTCATTACCAGATATTTAGGCCTAATTTGCAGTCTTGCAAACAAGATTTCTTAGAGGAAAACAACATTAAAAGCCTTTTAAAACAAAACCAACAACACTATATTGTACTTGAGGAAAATATGAAGGTATTTTAGATATACTGTGTTTATTTATCATGCATCAAAGTGTACACAATAATGAAAGACTGAAACCTGGGCACACCACTGCTGATCGTCACTGAGATGGACAGTGGGTTTATTGTTATATTACCTGTCGGAGACAAGTGCGGACGAACAGGACCAGGATACTGAGGTCAGACGGAATACTGAAGAAAGCAGGAAGTCAGGCGATCGGGCGAACGATCGGGAGGTTAACGGGGCCTTATATAATCTATTGTGCTACACAGGTGTTCTCACTCAGTTTTCCGGTGAACGTGAGCATGTGCATGGTTGGGAAGTGTAGTTCACATTGGCCATATTTGTATCTGGGAACTGTAGTCGCGAACTCGCCGTGACATGATATTTATATTCAATCACACTGCATTAGGAGAGAAATAAAATATATATGATTTTATTTGAGTGATCGAAATGTGGATTAATTGGTGAAGTCGTAATTTGGCCAAGTGGACTAATTAATGTGTCTGGATAATTAATAAACTCCCTGAATAACATCTGTTCAGGAAAATGGATCCGTGAGTATTTATTTGTACTGAAATTACTGACCGTGTATTTTTGAGGTAGAACTGCGTGCAAGCTCCAGATAAATTCTACGTGAATAAAACTTTTTAGGTGTATGTTATTTACAAACAAGATTATGAACTTCATTAGTTATGAAGGGTTTCTGGAAATTAAAGAATTAAAATGTGTCACCGGGTGTGGAAACGGCACAATCGCGGGAGCGGAAGACAGTAAAGCAACGCAGGGCTATGAATCTATAGGCAGCGTGAAACATGAGACGTGCAAGGTTCAGGCGATCGAACGAACAAGATAAACTGGGCGAGACAGAGACGTAGTTGAAAACCGTAAGTAAGCGTCAAGGTAAACTAGGAAGTCAATCAAAGTAGAACGGCTTGGTATCGCAGAGAAACAAGGTCGCTAAGCGTAGACTTCCCTCTTGACCTACTCCGGGGTCGTGGGCCTGGGAGTTCAGGATGCGTGGCATGAAAGTCTTTGGTTAGTTCGGGATCTAGAATGTCCTGTCGGGGGACCCAGCATCGCTCTTCAGGCCCGTACCCCTCCCACTCGACCAGATACTCCAACTTGCCCTGTCTACGTCGGGACTTGAGAATTCTCTTGACGAGGTACGCCGGTTGTTCCTCGATCTCGAGCGGCACAGGTGGATGTTCAGAGGGGACCTCCGTGACTAGCGGGCCATCCACCACTGGTTTGAGTCTAGACACGTGGAAGGAGGGGGAGATGCGGCTATATTGTGGAAGTTTCAGGCGGTATGTGACTTCATGAATCTGCTTGAGAATCCGGAACGGGCCCGTGTACCTCGGGGTTATTTTTTGCAGCCGTTGGCTTGTTTAAGGTTCCTGGTAGATAGCCACACTCTATCGCCCGGCTGGTAGTTTGGGTGGACACGGAGATGGCGATCGGCTTTGCTCTTGTAGGTCTCGGAGACGATTCGTAGGCGTCGGTGGGTAGCTGCCCAGACCTGCTCACTCCACTTGAACCACTGGTTCACGGCCGGGGCTGCAGTGGGAGTGGCGTTCCAGGGGAACAATGGCGGTTGGTATCCGAGCACGCACTGGAAGGGTGTGAGTTTGGTAGTGCCGCAGCGAGTTCTGGGCATACTCGGCCCATGGTAAGAACTGGTTCCAATCCTCCGGATTATGGGCACAAAAGGTATGGTGAAAGCCACCAGTATCTCTCTTGGAAGAGATGGAATGTCCGTTGTGCCCCGGGGTGCCCTGTACCCAGTGCCGTGTGTGCCCAAGTGATAAGTTCTGACCGGTATTCCTCTGGTACAAATAGCTTGCCGGAAGGACAGTTGACTGGTACTCTTGATGATGGAACTTCCTCTATTTTCTGATTCAAATCCCACTCTAACGCGTTGACGATGCAGACTGGCTTGATGATATATTCATCCTGATCATGGGCACGTTCAGAGTGGTCGCGATGTGAGAGGGCGTCTGCCTTTACGTTCTTGGATCCGGGGTGGTAGGACAGAGTAAAGTCGAATCTGGTGAAGAATAGAGCCCAACGTGCTTAGTGTGAATTTAGTCTTTTGGCAGTGCGTATATATTCCATGTTCTTATGATCGGTGAAAATAACGAAGGGGTGTGTCGCTCCTTCTAACCAATGCCTCCACTCCTCCAATGCCAGTTTGATGGCTAGGAGCTCTCGATCCCCTACGTCATAATTTCTCTCAGCGGGATTAAGCTTCTGGGAGAAGAATGCTACTGGATGGAGCTTGGGTCTTTCTCCAAACCTTTGGGAGAGGACTGCTCCCACTCCGGTTTCAGATGCGTCTACCTCCACAATGAATGGACGGGCAGGATCCAGATGTTTGAGGATGGGGGCAGTGGTGAAGGCTTTCTTGAGTAGTTCAAAGGTGGATTGAGCGTTGGCGCTCAATTGGCGCTTGCGTTTTCCCCTAAGCATGGCTGTGAGGGGGCTAGCGATGGCGCTGAAGTTCCGGATGAATCTTCTGTAAAAGTTGGCGAACCCCAAGAAACATTGCAGCTCCTTAACGGTAGTGGGCATGGGCCACTCCACTACGGCCTTTACCTTAACCTGGTCCATGGAAACTCCCTCGGGGCTAATTATGTATCCGAAAAACGAGATGGAGGTTTTATGGAACTCACACATTTCTGCTTTGACATATAACTGGTTCTGTAGTAACCATTGTAAAATCTCACGAACGTGGATGATATGGTCCTCCAAGGAGTTGGAGTAGATGAGAATGTCATCTATGTAGGCAATGACATATCGGCCCAGCATGTCACTTAGTACGTCGTTGATTAAGCATTGGAATACTGAGGGTGCGTTTGAAAGCCCATAGAGCATAACCAGATATTCATAATGGCCAGAGAGCGTGCTGAAACCGGTTTACCATTCGTCTCCCTCCCGTATCCGAATAAGGTTGTAAGCACTGCGTAAATCCAGCTTGGTGAATATAGTGGCTATGCGTAAATGCTCCAGGGCGGACGGTACGAGAGGTAAGGGGTAACGATACTTCATACAGCACCGGTTTAACCCTCGATAGTCAATACATGGGCATAGCCCACCCCCTTTTTTCTCCACAAAGAAAAACCCCGCAGACGCTGGGGAGGTAGATGGCCGGATATAGCCTTGGTGCAGTGCTTCCTGGATATACTCCTCCAAAGCCCGTTGCTCAGGGAGCGATAAAGGATAAACCCTCCCCAGCGTAGGTGTTGCACCGGGCAGTAAGTCAATGGCACAATCGTAGCTGCGATGTGGGGGCATGCCACTAGCTTTCTTCTTGCTGAAGACTCCTCTAAGATCATGATAGACCTTGGGGATCGAAAGGTAGTCTGTGCTGTCTGGGCTCTCTATGGAAGTTGACGCGAGCTGAATCATGGGGATGGGGAGACAGTGCTGAAGACAATGAGGGGACCAGTG